CCTGTACATCCAGACGATCCCCACAGAAGACGAGCTGAAGTTCCACTACACCGTCCACACCTCGCTCGACGTGGTGGAGGAGAAAATCAACAACGTCGGCAAAACTACCAACGACCTTCGCGAGCTGTACCTGGGCCTGCTGTACCCTACAGAGGACTATAAAGTGTATCCTTTAGCTGTACCCTACAGAGGACTATAAAGTGTATCCTTTAGCTGTACCCTACAGAGGACTATAAAGTGTATCCTTTAGCTGTACCCTACAGAGGATTATCATTTAGCTGTACCCTATAGTATAGAGGATTATCCTTTAGCTGTTCCCTACAGAGGATTATCCATTAGCTGTACCCTACAGAGGACTATAAAGTGTATCCTTTAGCTGTACCCTACAGAGGACTATAAAGTGTATCCTTTAGCTGTACCCTACAGAGGATTATCCTTTAGCTGTACCCTACAGAGGATTATCATTTAGCTGTACCCTATAGTATAGAGGATTATCCTTTAGCTGTACCCTACAGAGGATTATAAAGTGTATAATCCTTAAGCTTTTGCTACTGAAGTGAATCACCGTGTCATCAGCATACATAGATTTTGCCTTAACCTCCGGTTGGCAGGTATGGCTACGTGACCAACACAAAAATCAAGTTTGTGGTGGTGGTCGAGTCGTCCAACACGGCTCTGCGAGACAACGAGATCAGAACTGTAAGTACTTTCCTCTCAGGTTTTTGTCATGAAGACTTTTGGCAGGCTTCTTGCACCCTGTAATCATTATCAAGGGTTGAAAGGACCAGTGATGTCAGTTTGCTGTCTTATTTGCAACTGTCTGTATCATCTAGATACAAAATGTGTATTGGCAAAGCTGGTTAGGAAAGCAATGGATTTGAATAAGATTAAGAAAGGAAACTTAGGGTGAAAGCTTGTACAGTAGAGGCAGTGCATGTGTACCATGTGTAAGTTGTTCATGATGGAATCTCTGTTATCTGCAGATGTTCCGGAAGCTGCACAATGCTTACACGGACATGGTGTGTAACCCTTTCTACACACCTGGGGATCGAATTACATCCAGGTCAGACAACACACGTATATATATATATAGTTGGACTAAGTCTGTGGGCTTCAGAACATTTGTTTCCTGTGCAAGTGTCTCATACAAACGTTTGTTGCCCGTGCATCTCACATGAACGTTTTGTTACCTGTGTGTCTCACAAACGTTTTGTTGCCTGTAGCTGTACGAGTGTCTCACACGAACGTTTTGTTGCCTGTGCAAGTGTCTCACACGAACGTTTTGTTGCCTGTGCGAGTGTCTCACACGAACGTTTTGTTGCCTGTGCGAGTGTCTCACACGAACGTTTTGTTGCCTGTGCGAGTGTCTCACACGAACGTTTTGTTGCCTGTGCGAGTGTCTCACACAAACGTTTTGTTGCCTGTACGAGTGTCTCTCACACAAACGTTTTGTTGCCTGTGCAGGGTGTTTGAGAAGGTTGTGAACGGGATGATGCTGCAGGACAGCTGATTTTGGACGATCCTGGCTGCCGAACTGAGCTGGACGTAAGCGGGTCGACAGTCTGGCTGCTGATGTGAACTGGACATGCTAGCACATCGGCAGAACGTACTGTGCCTGCGCGAAACCATGATTTTTCAGTATTTGTTGGATGTTTGGTCACCGTTGCATTCGAATTTTGGCTGTTGCAGAGTACAAATGTATATATTTTCCGACATAACATTTAAAAACTACAGACGGGGTGTAACCTTATATGCGCGAATATGACCTTATATGAGACATTCTGAAGTGCTGTGCACAATATATTACGGGTTTTGCGCAGGTGCAGTACGTTCTGCTGATGCGCTGGTTCGGTCTGCTCAGGAGTGGTGATGGGGGAGAGGGGCAGCCTGCCTTCAGTACCATGTCTACTCCAGCAGACATCACTGAAGACTATAATATTACATGTAACAGTTACATATATTTACTTCACTATAAAACCTATTCATACTAGTCTACAGCAAGTCACACGGCACCCTGTACTGGAATTGCTGACCTACTACCGGTATTTAAGCTGCATACACTAACTGTCTCTTAGCGGATGTCCTAGGACTGTTTTCTACCCATAGCGGTTGTTTTGACTCTCATGTTGTTCTATTTTTATCAGCTGTAAAATGTCAGAATCAAAAGTATGGACTCAAGCAAGACACAAGGCTTTTCTAGTTCACAGTACATAACTTTAAGAAATATTAATGGTTGTCAGAGGTACCTATTCCAACGATCACTTAGGCTGTATAACTGTGCACCAAGTATGTCACATTCGGTAATTGTGAATGGAATCTGATGTCATTAAACTTGTCTGGGCAAGTATGCCCGACTGCTTGTACTTGTGTTATGTATGCTGTACATGTACATGGTAAATAACTGTGTGGAGGAATTACTATTGTTGATACTACATGTGCACCAGTAGCTGGAAAATGTTATCTTGGGGTTACTTCAGTAAAAGTACACACGAAAAAATGACAATTACAATTCACTGCAATTTACAGGAACTTTATTGAAAAATAAAAAGACTAAAACAAAAATGCCCCGTCTATGTTTCTTCTAACTTTTTTTTCTTATTTTCTTAATTTTTTTCTGGTAATTTGTTTTTTTTCTTCCCTCTTTTTTTTGTGTCATATTTTCATGCTTTTATTTTTTGGGGGCTTGAACTAGTGATAACCAGACTGCCGCTGTCGAAGGGAGACGTCCAGACACTTCCACATGGGAACCACCTGTGGAGAAAACAACACAAACAAACAAAAACGCCCAGTCATGTGCAAAACATCGCCTCTAGCTTACACAAGGTAAAAATGGCCAGCCAAACCGCCCTGAAGTCACCAGTTAATGTCACTTATTGCACACCAGTCTTTGTACAGTGAGCTTAACGGATTCAACCAAAGTTAAACAATCATGCAGATGCCTCCAGGTGAGGTTGGTCTGGCCATCTTTACAGGACTGAAACAGACTGATGAAACAAGGCCTGCTAAAACAGGACTGACATCATAACAAGGCCTGGCCATTGTAACAAGGACTGCAGAATCCAGAACTACCCTCCTGGATGTTACCACAAAATTTGGCTGTTGCAGCCACCAACTTAATTTCAGTCACTTTTTTTTTTTCAACTGTGCTTTACCAACATTTAGCAGAAGAAAAGTTTACATGAGAAAGCTATGATTTAACTACGAGGGAAGATTTTGGAATGTTCTTTTTTAGGACCAAATTGTTTCTCATTTCCGTCGGCATGGTATAAAAATTCTCATTTAGGAGCATCAGAAATGCATGATTTGGATGAGAATAGTCAAAAGCCTATCCCAGCATTAGTAACACCATTTAGCTGATAGTTTGCAGGTTTTGAAAACATTTGAGCCACTGGATTTGTGGCTAGGACAGATCTAACTGCAGGGAGCTACGGCCGCCAGTTTAGTAGGGAGAATACCAAGCTGCTCGCCGGGACCTGTAGGAAATAAAAACCACAAGGTGAACAGGAGAAACAGTCTTACACAAGCTACTGAACAGGAGAAACAATCTTACACAAGCTACTGAACAGGGGAAACAGTCTTATAACACAAGCTACTGAACAGGAGAAACAATCTTACACAAGCTACTGAACAGGAGAAACAATCTTACACAAGCTACTGAACAGGAGAAACAGTCTTACACAAGCTACTGAACAGGAGAAACAGTCTTACACAAGCTACTGAACAGGAGAAACAGTCTTACACAAGCTACTGAACAGGAGAAACAGTCTTACAACACAAGCTACTGAACAGGAGAAACAGTCTTACACAAGCTACTGAACAGGAGAAACAGTCTTACACAAGCTACTGAACAGGAGAAACAGTCTTACAACACAAGCTAAATGTTAACTCTAACAGCTACATCTTCCAACAAAAGCTAAACATTTACTATAACCGCACTTTACTCTATACCATCACACTACTCCTCTACACACACCCCACTCCTCTACACACACCCCACTCTCTATACACCATCTACACATCACACCACTCTCTATACAACATCTACACATCATCCCACCCCCTACACATCCCCACATGTAAACCGACCTGAATCCGCAGGACCGTCTGGGGTAGTACCCTCCATACCCCACTCCTATATACACCCACCCACTCTCCTACACCCACACACACACACACAACTCTACACAACATCCACACACACACACATATAAACCAACCTGAATCCGCGGGACCGTCTGGGGTAGTACCCTCCGTAGCCCACTCCTCTATACACCATCCACACACACCCACTCCTCTATACACCCCCACATGTAAGCATACAGACCTGAATCCGCGGGACCGTCTGGGGTAGTACCCTCCGTACCCGCCGTAGCCGGAGTTGAACCCGCGGAACCCGCCGCCCCTCCCTCGGTACCCGCGGCCGCGCGGTGGGCGGTCTGTCGTGCTCACCCCGGGTCTGTTCGTCCGCTTTGGCACAACCTGCAGGAGGAAAAACGGACATAAATCGACCCGCAGGGATATCTCAAACCTAAACTAAATCCAACACTTTTCATATCCTCCACCAGGTCTTCCTAAGAATTTATGGATGGTAGAATTCAGATTGAGCCAAGTGCCGGGTCTGTTCGCTTTGGCACAACCTGCAGGGGGAGAAACTGACATAAATCAACCCGCAGAGATAATGCCTGTACCCCTGACAATCTCCCATTTCTGGTTAAAATCCCTTGAAGCACTATGGCAGCTCGTACAGCCCATCCTCACCTTAATTTGTCTTCCCCGGAACAGAGACTCGTCCAGTGCTTTTGCTGTCTCTATGGAATCCTTGTCTGCAAACTCGATGTATGCAAATCTGCAACACAAACAACAGTCTAGCTAGTTAGACAGGCATTGCACATGCATCCACTGGATATTACGTGGTTACTTGAAATGTCAAACATCAGCAATGATCAACCTAAATTGTCAAAATGAGCAACATCAGCAGTACTGGGGTTGTCTTTCTAGAGATGTGCTTATAAAGTATCAAAAAGTATGAACAAGCATTGCATGCGATGTGTATGAAGCTCTGTAGCAAACATTGGAATCTACTGTGACTAGGCAACCCTGAGCCCCTGATAATCCTGACCCTTTTGGGTGTCCGGTGAACTTGTCACACAGGATGGTGACTCTGTTGATGGAGCCGCAGCCGTGGAAGTGAGCCTCCAGTTCTTCTGCTGTCGCTCCATAGTCAACCTGAAAATGGTAAATTCACACTGCTTACAGCAACATGACGGACATGTTCTAATAACTTTCCTATCGCATGCTGAGCCATGCTCAGAGGTCTACTAACCGAACCTACAATAGAATCATCAAAGTTCTACAGGAGAAAGCGGTTACTCAAGCAACTTATTTTGAAACATCACCGAGTTGTACTTACATTTCCAACATAGACAGATCTGCCATCAGCTTCCATCTTCTCCTCTATGGTTGGGAAGGCCACTGGAAACAGGACAGAGTTGGCATCAGGACACAGGGACAAATACAGGCATCAGGACAACAAATACAGGCATCAGCACACAGGGACAAATACAGGCATCGGCACACACAGGGACAAATACAGGCATCAGGCCACACAGGGACAAATACAGGCATCAGGGCACACAGGGACAAATACAGGCATCGGCACACACAGGGACAAATACAGGCATCAGGGCACACAGGGACAAATACAGGCATCAGGGCACACAGGGACAAATACACGCATCAGGCCACACAGGGACAAATACAGGCATCAGGCCACACAGGGACAAATACAGGCAGTCAGGGCACACAGGGACAAATACAGGCATCAGGACACAAAGGGACAAATACAGGCATCAGGACACAAAGGGACAAATACAGGCATCAGCACACAAGGAAAAGGACAGTTGAGGTCCTACACACTAGCTACTACACGCTGTAACAGGCACTCCAACCCAAGCCACTTTGATTGTCAGGCACACTCGCCATTCCAAAACTGTTAACTCAAACTGACCTGAGAGAGATGACACTGCACACAGTCATGCTACAAAAAGGTTACTCTCACTCCAAAGAAAAAGAAAACAAAACCAAGACAGACTGACTGCAAGCATTTAGTGATAGTGCAAAAATGATTTGGAAACGTTAAAAAGGCAGTAACACCAGACTAACGTGCTGGCCCGGGCGCCCCCCCACCTGCAAACAGAAGAGACATGAGTGACGTGATGACAAGTACAAGGTCAGCATGACCATATATGAGATCATGTGAGGTCAGCATGACCATATATGGCATCATGGGAGGTCAGCATGACCATATATGGGATCATGTCCAGGAGCTGTAGGAGACAGAAGGTGACAGGGATGGGATGTCTGACTAAACCACAAGTAGAACTATCAGGCAAAATATACTGGTACACCGTACAGGTCACCATTAATACCTTAGGCTTAGCTGTATTGTATTTACCTTGTTAAACAATAAACTAACCCTAACATCTTGATAACCACTAGCTAAGCCATGATCGCTGCTGTGAGGTTCAAGTTCATGTCTCCAGCTGCGGCCCCAGGTCTCTGCACTGTGGGGCTCAGGTCACCTCCCTAACCCTGACCTTTACCCTGTGACCCTAACCCTGACCCCTCACCTCCAGCAGCTGCCCCGGGTCGCTGGGCCGTGGGGCTCAGGTTCATCTGTCGTTCCACCTCCCTAACCCTGACCTTTACCCTGCGACCCTAACCCTGACCCCTCACCTCCAGCGGCTGCCCCGGGTCGCTGGGCCGTGGGGCTCAGGTTCATCTGCCGTTCCACCTCGTTCTGCATCTCCTTCAGCTTCTCCGCCTCTTCCTCCATCTCCCGAACCCTCTGCTTGATCGCCTCAAGCTCCTGGGACAAGAGAACAACTTCAGTCAACAACTTCAGTCAAACAGCTCTACTCTGTCTTTCTTCTACATAAGTTACATTCACCTTTATGCAAATTATAAAGATAATATCCTGGGGCAACTTCAGACAAACATAGCTAGAGTTCTATCTTCTATAGACAGCAGTGCTCTTGCCAGGCCTTATGAGCATAGGGGCCCCCTAATCCCCCTATGCTGTGATATGAACCCCTAGCCGTGGACGACTCTGGTACCCTTTTTGCATGCTAATGTCGGGACAGAGTCGTGGTGCGATGCATAGGCCAAAACCAACCTTTGCCGTGCCGGGCCTCATGCAACTGGCCGGCCCCGGATTTTTGGTGTCGCTGGCTTCCTAACGCACTCACCTGCCGGGCCAGGGGGATAAGACCCTAAACAAATGCAGCATTTAACCACAACACGGCCTCGGAGCACGTAACTCCATACAAATCATCGGCGATCGGCGCCATTTTGAACTCAGGAATCGGCCGCAAACAGGTCGGACCCTGAGTTTACGACAGATTACGTCGTTATTTTCAACTCTCCAATGTTCAAGCTGCGGGTATCATGACATAATCTGTAGTAAACTCAGGGTCCGACCTGTTTTGCGGGCCGATATGAACCCCCTATGCTGTGATATGAACCCCATATGCTGGGATAATTTTTGGACCCCTATGCTGCCTCAAATTAAGCTAGGCATGAAAGTTCGACTGTGTTGGTATTCGGCAAACATAATTTGCTCACCCTTTGTCCTCATCTTTCCTCGCTAAAACTGCGCAGTTGCTAGTTATCCGCTGTATTTTTTGCTGGAGCAGCAGCAGTAACAATAATTTATACCCCTCCCCCCCAAATCGTACTACCACTAGTTTATAATAATTTTCCGGGTTCCACTAGGAGAGGAAAGACAAGCCAAACGGTCTGTTGGGACTTACCGGATCCTCGACCGGATTGTCTGCCGCCGCTTCATTCTCCAGCGTGTCGGCTTGGGTCGGGTCAGCCGCCAGGTCAGGGGTGTCCTCCAGCAGCAAGCTATCCGCGTCCGCCATCCTTCGGGATTCGCGGCGTTTCCTACACTAATACTTACCTGAGATTGAACAAATCAACACGGAAATGTTCCACGAAAGGTGCTGAACGAGTCTGTGGTAAAGGATGGTGACTATTGACCAGATTTCACTAGGATTAAACGCGATTTTCAAGCACCTCAAATATTTTGAAAGCACAAGAATAAAGATGGCGTCGGTCAGGGGAATGATGGGAATGCCCAGTGGCATAGTGGAACAAACCATTCAGATGTAGGGATCACAATCTACAATCTACTAAGTATTTTAACAATATGCAAGCATATTTCAAACCCAAATACATTCGAAGATAAAACAAATATTACTAGATTTATAAAAATTCATTCATTATGACTTTTAGATGTTGATGTCTATATAGAAAAAAAGAAAACAAGAGCTAAACATTAATCACAATGGTAGGACCCAAAAGATGGTTCCTGGACGTTTCGTCGCCAGTTAAAAATGTCATAAGGTGTGGAAATCAAGGAGGTTTAAGTGTATCGTGGGGACGGTAACCTCTTTGGGTAAATACAGTAGTCTTTAAAAGTTATCTTGGCAACAGACAGTGATTGTAGCAGCTTATTTGGTGTGTGCACGGTGGCCGCGAAACGGCCCGGAAGTGACCGCGAATCGTCTGACGGCGAAACGTCCAGTGGTCCGACGGTGCCGACTTACTTCCGGGTTGGCACACATTGCCAGATGACTGTGCAAAAGTGATGCTGCACACCTGACGCTGTACACCTGACGCTGCACATCTGACGCCGTACACCTGACGCCGCACACCTGACGTACCTTCTGTGAGTTCAGTTGTAAGCCGGTCGACGAGGCATAACATTACCTACTCTGTAACCCTCGCAAGGTTTGTAGTTTGTAGGGGTAGTTCCCAACACAGTAGTTGTCTACTCTCAGTCCCGTAGCCGCAGGCTGTTTGGGCAATTTGTCTATTTAACCCTAAATAAGAAGCTGACGTGGCTGGATAATGTAGTCTGTCGGATTCTCGCCACATCCTTCTCTTCACTGTATATATAATATAGCTCAGTGGTATGAACGCTTTTAGACAATTATTAGACAACAACATCTCAGGTACATGTTCACCTGTTCTCTCACCTGTACTCAGGTACATGTTCACCTGTTGTCTCACCTGTACTCAGGTACATCCTGCAGACCATGGACCCGGCCGTACCCGTCCCCCTGGCCCCTCCCCTGCTGTCCAGCCTGGCCGACTCTGCTAAGGACTGGGCCATCCTCCACGGCGTCGCCATGAGAACCAAGGAGCAGCCGGAGTCTTCAGATGTCGTCAACTTTGCACCTTTCCTGCTGCTGCCATCACCTGTACCCAGGTATATGTTTACCTGTTTCTCACCTGTACCCAGGTCTTGATCATACTGTCAGTAATACATGTATGAATGCTTTTTTGCTTTATTCAAATTATTGTGTGTTTTTTTTGTCAGTACATGTTTTATTTATAAGTTTACATTAAAACATGTAAATACATGCATAAATAATCTAAAATACACCCCTCCCCCCCTCCCAGAGTGCTGTTTGACCAGGCGAAGGCGGTGCAGCGAGACTTTAACCTGCTGGTCCACCGGCTCAGCCAGGACCGAAACTTCCTCACCACCTGCCTCAAAAGGTCAGCTTCATGCTTTATCTTATATATATCCAGAACCTTGCTTTATCCAGAACCATGCTTCATGCACAGTTCTGGATAGTCTACGCATATCCAGAACAGTGTTATATCCATAGCCATGCTCAGGCATGGTTCTGGATAGTCCATGCATATCCATAACCTTACCTGATCCTAATCCTAACCCATTTAGGCATAGGACTAGAGAGGCACAGTTCTGGATAGTCCATACATATCCAGAACCTTGCCTGATCCTGGCCCATTCAGGTGTAAAACTAGAGAAGCACGGTTCTGGATATGGAAGGAGATTCTCCCAGATTTGCACTCCTCACAAAGACGTACCAATCTTCATTTTGCAACTCTATCAATAAACGTATCACTAATGACGAAGCAAAAATAAGATTTTCAGAATGGTCTTGTAATGCTTGTTTTCTGGCTCTATCAGTGCTGCCTTACCTCTACAGTTCTGGTTACTGACCCACTGTTGTTGTGTGTAATGTTGATACCAGTCCTGTACAGCTTTAGTTACTGACCCACTGCTATTATTGATACCAGTCCTGTACAGCTTTAGTTACTGACCCACTGCTATTATTGATATCAGTACTGTCCAGGTAGACAAGTTCACCTATCGGCTGTTCGACATCTACAGGCAGGTGCAGCAGGAGGGCGTGGCTCAGGTGAGAAAATTGTCTTACAGATGAAGGTTCCGAATTACTAAGAAAGGGAGGACGAAAAGGAGAAAAAATGGAAGATAAAAAGATAAGAGAAGGCAAAAAGAAGGATAACAAAAGAAACGTTGATGAAGGTTAGACATCCAGGTAAACGATACTCGTAAGAAAATTCAAACTCTACTACTGGATCAGTTACGGATTTTTATTTATTTCCGGACGTTTCGAGTGACATCCATCACTCTTCTTCAGCGTCACA